TTCGGTTCCTAGTACAGATAATGCTCTAGAAAGAGTAATTCAAATCTGTTGTTTTCAAGATTAATGATGAGTATTTATACTATGAGATCCACGTGTGTGGTTCTTGATGCTTGCACGTTGCCATTTAATGTGATTTGATGGCGGCGTGCTACTCCACATGGTAGGTCCACATGTGATGATTGTTTATAGTTAGTATGATGGATATATGTCACTTCCGCATTAAATATGTTGTTGGAGGTCGACCTGCAAGGAACTATGATCGAGTCCTCTGAGGTGGGATAGTCGAGCTTTCACTGTATGTCATTGAGTTGTCAACTCTCCCTCCCTCTCCCTCTCTCTCTCTCTCTCTCTCATCTGAACTTTGATTTACACCGAGTAGTTGTCCTTGCAATTGTTGATTCTTCCTACGGTCATGACTTGAGTTTTTTAGGCAAGGAGGTCAGGTCCTTTGCTTGGTCCCGGATCTTTTTTCAATCTGATTCATATTCATGTGAGATTAGTTTATTTGACCTGTCTTCAGGCCGAGTGATCATTTAATCTTCGCCGCACGTCTAATGATTAGAGAGACTACCAATTCGGATATCAACACATGTTTTTCTATTAGATGCACACTTGCAAGTTGTAATGCCAAACTCTAAATAATATTGTAAAATTTCATAATATGAGTATGACTATGTTTGATAGAAAAATAAGCTAGCTTATAACTTATTTGGTTAGTTTATAAGCCTTGTATTCAAATAAGTTTCGTTTGGTATGACGAGTTTTTTATAAAACTCGAACTTATTTGGTAAGCTTTAATATGGCAGGTCAACCCGAGTACCTGACTAATACTTGCATCATACAAGAATTTGTGTTTGATGGATGAGTCTTAGTTACAAATTTTAAGTTTTGTATACCAACATTGAGTGGTTATAGTAATTCAAAGTTACTAATTAGAGGATGATTGGATATCAAAATTTTGATATTGTTTGGATTTTTTGTTTGGTTTGGTTAGTTTTGAAAAAAGTTGTATGGTTAGTTGTTAGTGGGTATATTAAAATAATATTTAAAATAAATTGATTAAAGTTGATTTGATGTAAAGTAGAAAATAAAAGATTTAAAGTGATTGTTAGTTAAAAATATGTGAGTGGAT